CTTTGCCAAATATTATGCCCATAAGTTTGGTGACAACTAACAAATCTTGACAAGTAAAACCAGTGACAAGCCCTACCAAGTCGCTAACTTTATTTTAGCCAATAAAAACCCACCTCACAACATTTGTACGTAATCATCAACATCCTTTACCATGTAGGCCTTTTCTCCAAATTTCACGATTACTGCTTCTGCATTTTATTTCAACGGATCTTAAATTGCCAGATTTTCCTAAACAGCTTTCAAATAGGAAGACACCACCAATTTTCTTTCTTTTTAAAGTGATATTCGGATATTCATTAATGAAAAAAAATGCTTTCTGCAAATAAATGATTATGATAAACAAATTTTGGACTTTAAGAACTAAATATCTGGGCTTTTTACTACCTTGTGTTGCACATAACTTTCTATTCTAATTTGGTAAACCATTCTCCTTTACCAGTGCCATGACATCTTACAATTATACTATCTGATTTCTTCCTTCAGTCTATTGTGGCAAAATATTTTGTATATTTCATGGAAAAAAGTGCAGCTGCATAAAAAATAAGGTACATAATAAATTTAAGATTAGCTACAGCAATGTTAAAGCACACACCATTGTATGTATATATATGTATATAGATATATATATATGAATGTATAACAGTATGTAACAAATGAAAATTTACATAGACTGTACATTAGCATTTAGTGTCATTTGACAAGAATTATATACAGGACCAGAAATAAATATAAAGGTAAAACAAGAATACTGCAGAGTCAAATAAACAAACCTATACTCAAGCAATGGGACAGTTAACAAAAGAATCATTTGTTGTGTAAACCCTTTTAAAGGATCATGTGCTTATAATGCTGGTCTTCACATAGTTGAAGCTACTAAATAGTCTGGGGTCCAAGCAAAAAGATAATAACAATAATAAATAATAATAATAAAATAAAATAAAACAAAAGGCCTCTCAAAATATGGTTGGGTTTATAAATACATGCAAATATGACAAGACATATATATGGATCAATCTTATGTTAATACAAATTGCATTCCATGGATTTTACTGTTTTGGGGAATATGTGATTCAAGAGAAGACCTCTACGATTTTGGCTGCTAAACATCATTTCATGAAACAGGCAGAGCTTTTTGAACGTGTCAGTCTTAATTATGAAGACACATCTAAGAGCATCCAAATAATAGTAGTATTCCAATAATCTGTGGTATATATTGCATTTCCCCTGAATGCAAAGTTCAACCTAATAATTAAAACTGACACTATTTAAAATTTTCCAGTTCTCATTTGGATGTAAAGTTTCTCTAAAGAAATTTTCGGAATAGCATAAGGATATTTTTGTCATACAAAATATGTCAACAATCAGGGCTTAATATTTAAACCAGTGTGTCCAATCAAAAGAACTATTGTTTGTCTTATTGCTATTAATGTTAAATGGTAAAGCTGCAAATTCTCTGAAAATCAGCAAACCAAGCTATTGCTTCATATTCATTTACATAGCTGAATATAGTGTATATAAGTATAGTCTATGTCACAACCATCTACCCATTATTTTGTTTGCTCTTTTGCTATAGGAGTGTGATACAATTATATACATTTAACATATAACAGTCCAGAAACTGGCTTCTTGTGCATAGTTTTCCGTGGTCAAATGAAAAGTTTCCAAAGTTCAATAACTAGATTTTATCAATGATGTACAACATATACCATCACAACTACACATGTATTTGTTCATTAAGTTTACATTTGATAAATTCAATCTCCTCATTTTTTTATGTAAACGGAAGTGCAGTCACAAAAACAATCTTCTTAGAATAACTTTCTCTAGATTGCATTTAGCAACGACCAAATAAAACCTTCAAATTGTAACTTAATAATGTAATCCATGATAACAGCAAATATTGTGAACAACAAATACTTATGTCGTCCTTTTAGAACTACTATATCAGCTCTTACTACCATATNGTGCGTCTACATGTGCATGCACGCTTGTGTGTACATCAAACTAGTCTGTGGTATCTGTTCTTAGTTATAGGTGTGTGTATATATGATGTACATTGTTTTCCTTTTATAACTTACACATATTTTAACTAGTCTAAGACTTAAATATCTATGATATTAGTATAATAGTTAATATGTTAAAAAATAAACAGTATCATATATGTGTGTGCCTCTGTCTGTTATTATAAAAGTCATTATCCAGTATAAATCAATCATTTTCTTTACGCCTACAAGCATGTATTATATGTTTTTACATGGATGCCTTTGCAAATTATTTTGTTAATGTATAAATCCTCTATACTTTATTGCTTGTCATCCAGTTTGTAACAACTATCAATGTAGGCAGCACAATTGAGATAAGTCCAGAAATCAGATGGGCTGTTGCTGAAATAGATATTATATTATTTATGAAATACAATTTGTCTATTGCAGTTACACACTCAGGTGATATTTTTCTGGAAATAAAATATGCTAGTAAATTGTCAGCACATGTTGAGCTTAGACAATGCAGATTTTGTTTTTTAGTGGTCAAATGGTTTTGATAACTTACCATTCTGACACTTGCCATCCAAACATATCCCTTTTCTTCCCATAGTTTTACAGTTGCCATCTCCATATAGCAGAATGAACCAACTGTCCCTAATGGTCAAAATCACAAAGAAAAATTATTAATAATATATATTATAATTATTAATTTAATAATAAAAATAATACAAGTTGAGAAAAACTATGGAAAGGTACATGAACTCTTGAAAGGAAGATATACAAGTTAAGTCTCACTATTTTTTAAAAATTTCATTACTAACAAGCTACACAGTTGCCTCCCTTATCTTCATGACTTGGTCCACACACACACTTTTTAGGCTGGTCAGGGTGGCAAAAATTGCCACATGTGTGTCCCTTGGCCCAATCACAGTGTTGAGGTGACTGACATTCTTTTCCAAAACCCTTGGCTCGCAGCAGTTTGATCATTTGTACAACATGCATGAAAATGAAACAGTTTGTATAGAACAGTTTCATTAGCTGTGTTATTGTAATAGACTTGTAAAGATTCTTTTGTCTGTAGCTACTTATATTTGTCTTGTCTTACCAGCCAGTATTTCATTTGAAATATGAAATGGTTTGTATTTTTTATGTGTGGCGTCACACTCTAGCATTTCTCTTCCATGTTGTCTAGTTTATAAATAGTAGTAACTTGATAAACACAATACATTAATATAAGTTTCATTACTTAAAGCCGAAGAATTGCTAAAAATATTGTAACTATGAAAATCTGTGCATGTCTGCCAGGTAGCAGATGTGCCACAAAAGGAAGGAAGGTTATTAATCCAATGGAAGCCCCCAATCTGTTATGGGTTGGAATAACCCAGAATGCTAGCAAAAATCAATAACACAATTTAAAAAACAATTTATGACCAACTTAACCAAATCACACCCTGAGCTTCAGAGCTAACTTGACACTAACCTCTTCACTGTAGCCTATCTTCATCGTGTCAAGTAACCTCTGACCAGATTCGATTGCCTCCGCCGCCCGCCAATCAAATTTAAAAGCCCGCACTCAATGACTCATTAAACGATCTAGCCAATGAACGCGAACGAGTCAAAGCGCGCTTTGTTCAAATCCGGACCAATCAAAGATAAGGCTGAATATCAGGGACTTGCCGTAACCTGTGGGCAGCACGCAAATTACATCGTCTCTCAGTAGATAATGATGCAGGGCCTCAAACTGCTAGACCCTATGGTTTCAATTCCGATTTACTCATATTTTGCAAAGAATCAAGAGATAACTTAACACATTCTTTTTCGTAGTCACTCGCCTTGCTTTCTTTGTGTACGGTAATACACTCGGAACTACTCGGATGTCTCCGCACTCGACAATAACTATGTTGTTAGTATGGAGCTTGCGGAATCAGCCGAGGATTGCCGATTGACGGTCAACCAATCAGCGTTTTCACCAAACTTTGGTGAAAAATTTTGAAACATGGATTTGATTGGCTTATATAAACTAGGTCAAACTATTTTCGTCAGAGGTTACTTGACACGATGGAGATAGGCTACAGTGAAAAGGTTAGTGTCAAGTTAGCTCTGAAGCTCAGGGTGCCAAATCAGAAATGAAAATACAACTAAACATCTTGAAGTGCACATATCCTGTTTATTGTACTTAAAACTTTCGCACATTGTTTGTCAAGTGCATCTGATGATAGTCCTATCTCTAGCATTTGTGCTCATGTGCTGTCCATTTCAAAATAAGATGTGAGATGTTTGAAAGTAAGTCCCTGGAGAAATACCTTTTATAAGTAATAGTGGTTACGAGGTTCTTCTTTACTTTTACATGTTCATTTCAGTGAGGCATGTGGAGATTATTTGTAGTTTTTTTTTTCATGTCAAAATTTATAAATGAAGAAACTAGCTTGCTTGCTTGATCTCAGGAGGGCATAGGATATCTATGATCTCCATAATACTGATAATTTTTAACATGGTTAAGGTCAGCATCTTTTTAATTTTCATTGTCTCTACCATTCATCTTCCTTTGCACCATTTTGCAAACACTAGATTTAATGAATAATTCCATCTGCATCTTTTTTTTATTTGACATGACAAATGACATCGTGACAAGGACTTGGAAAAAACATTTTGTTATTCTTGTGAGAATTTGTTTTGAGTCTACGTAGTATAATTGTTTACAAGTACTCTTTCATCAATGAAGCAAAATAAGTAAAAGGAAATATATGCTTAAAAGTTATCTTGCATCAATGGAGCAAAAGTAGAAAATGTAATTTGTTGAAATGTTCTGTAAGACCAATGAAGCAAAGTAAAATTACTAAGAACTGAAACTATATACATTTGAAAAGTAATTGTTAGTAGCTTGGTTTATATTTTCTCCTATTTTGATCAGACTTTTATCCTTCTGTACTTTGTACATTGAATTCAAAGAATAATTAGTGAACTTATTTCATATTGTAGTCTATTTTGATCAGGCTCTCATCCTTCTGTGGTTTTCTATGTTCTTCCTTGACTGCTCATGGTCTGCCACTGCTTTAGGTGTGTCTCTGCTAGTATAGCACTGCTAACACAATTGGGAGCACTGCTGACAGCAGACCAGAGGTTATGATTGCAACAGCTGAAATCAAAATATTAAACGCATACAATCCATGTTAGACCTTTACAAAGTTAAAGATAATGTGTCTTTAAGTATTATACACTTTGACCTTGATTGTCAAAGTTTATTGTATCAAAAACAGTTTGATTTCAAAGTTGTCTTTTGAGTTTTTAGTTTCTTATTTTTGAGTCAATTTTGTTGTTATGGGAACAAGGAAATTGTTTAAAGTAGAAATTAAGAAATCAAAAGTGATTTTATACATTTAAATTTTTTTCTCCACAATTGAAATGCATTTAGACATACATAGCAAAGGTGGAACAATTGGCTGGTTTGTGGGTCTGACTGAACCACCTTTTTGATCAGAAAAGGTCAAACTTGAATAAAATTTTGAACTAGGTTCTGTGCTGTTTTTCTAAATGGGTCAAATGAAGACCACTTTTTCAGAATCTGCACCCCCCTCCCCCCCTCTGCTCTTTTGAAATTGCTGGCTTCAGGCCTTGACCTATGACATTTAAGTGAAAATGTAAATTATCATTCAGGTTCAGTTGGATGAGATTCAGAAATTAGCATGTTCTGTGTATGAGGATTTTCAAAATTTTTATTTTTAAATTTTTTTCTATTTTAGTCATAAGCATTTCTTAATTTAAATTTGTTTTGGGTTTTTAGTTTTTTATTTATAATGTTACCCCGACTCCTATCCTTATTTTTATCACTAATTAAGATCATTCTCTTGCCTTATTTTGGAATATTTTGTTCACAAATTCTTAAGCAATATGTAATCGTTAGATATAATTACAATTTTGGCACAATCCATCCACACATTGAGCATTAGGACTGATGCCTTGGCAGTTGCCGTCTCCAAAGCATGCACTTCCTACTGTTCCTAAAAGTGATAAGATAATGAAAAGGTTAATGACCTCTAAAATTAAGATACCATTTTATGACAAGCCTGTTCAAAGATTTAAGTTCAAATAGCCTAGACCTGTTTAGGTATCATATGTTTAAGTTCTTGCATTAGGTAAACGGCCATGTCATTTGTGAAAGGTCAGATTTTTTTGGTTGTGACAGAACAAGAAATACAATAAGGTAGCATAGAAACATCTAAATGATGATGATGAGCATAGAAACAACTAAAACTTTGCAGCAGAAGGTTATTCTTTAACGTAACCTAATAGGTAGATAGGAAATTTAAATAATTCATAGACAAGAGTGTCATACTTACTTAGTGTACAAGTTTTGCCAGTTGTGATATGCCAGGGCCCACAGCGACACGTTGTAGCTTCTTCTGAAGAACGGTTTGTGGCACAGGTATCTCCACAGACAAGTCCCTTGCTGGCATCACATGAGCTTGATGAACATGATTCCCCATGTGCTTTAGCTTTATATAGAAGTAAAATAACTAAAATTATAGAGTAAGGATTATGGGTTAAGTAGTGATACCCCTCCCTTGTTTCAGAATTTGGCGCTGTCTTGCTATTTTCATTTTTATTTATTTTTTTTAAATTAATGTTGGTAACTTTCAGTAGCCTGTCACTGAGTTTCAGAATTGATGCTGGCTGTATCCAATACTGTTCCACTACATTACATTTGAAGAAATCCCAACCTACTTTGGTTTGAACATTCAGATTTATCATAACTTGGTTTCAGCCCTGGAAGACATGAACACCTATTTGATGTAGTATCACATATCATACTTGCTGGACTTAAATAGATGTTACTGTAACAGTCAGTGTCTTCCATACACATGTCACCAATTTTTGCTGCAAAGAAAAAATGAAAAGGTATGAGTAATATATTGGAAAAAGAATGGAATGATGTGCATGTATATCTGAAATAATTGTAATTTAAGGTATAAATTGCATTTGTTTAGCCTTAAACATATTATCCACTAACTGTGGAATACTTTTCAGTATTTCCTTTATTATATTTTCTGATATTGAATAGCATAAGGCCATGGTAGGTGCTGTGCTGTGTAAAAACATCCGTATGTATTTACTTTGCTTTTCATGGCCATAATTGTTAGTATACTGACAAGGGGTGGGGTGTTTTTATTAAGTAAAATGGTAGATACATTATTGAATATTTAGATGCACAAAAATCTGGGCCCAGTTTCATAAAGGACATTTAGCACTAACCAGTGTATAAGCCTAACTAGTGGATAAATTCTCCTAACACCCATTAACTAAAAGATGGTTAAAATTGATAAAGCCGATTAGTTAACTGACCAGTGTTTAACTGGATAAAATATTTAAAGGTCAGTTAACTAACCAGCTGTTTAAACACTGTTTATAAAACACAATTTCAACCATCATTTAGTGAATGGGTATTAGCAGAATTTATCCACTGGTTAGACTTAAACACTGGTTTGCGCTACACGTCCTTGAAGGTGGGCTCTCATTTTTGGTATTTTGATGATAAGAAACCCTGTCAATAACCTGAAGTTCAAAACTTACCTGATACACAGATAGGATATTTTTTCCCAAGAAAGTATAGTGGACCATTATAAATAATGGACAGCATTGTCCACTCTGCTGCTGAGGAACACCCACATGATCGAGGAGTAGCTGACAAAATACGATTCCAATAAAATCCTCTAGTACATGTGTCTCCTGCTGTGACCCCCTCTGATGGCAGCAGTTGGTTGGGGTCACCACAGTGCTCCCCTCCCCACATCTTCACATAGCCTGATTTACAGGTACATTGGCCATCTTTGCACTCAGAGTTGGCAGCACCACATGTACCAGTTTCATCAAAGGTAGAACAGGATTCTCCTACTTTTTTTACTGAAATATTAATTAATTAATTAATCGCCAATTTTTAAAGATGAGCCCTTGCAAGTATCATAAAATAGTAATGTAAAATTTCAGATAGGTATTTTAATTGCAATTATATAAATTGTACTTTAGATTTTTAAGGTGTGTGTTTTTATTGCAGTAGGAAATGTAAAACAAATCAAAAATACCAATGGATAACATGATGCAGTATTTACACATATAACCTATTGTTGATTATTAGGTGCAGAGAGTTCACTTTGTGTTTAATGCAAATAGATATCAAAATTTACTGACATCCGAGTAAGACATAATTTTCCTTTTTTTTTTTCAGAGCAAAACTATTGTTGCTTAGGGTCATGTGTGAATTTCAATTTCCTTAGAAGATGATCTGCTTCTTTGATAACTTTTATACAGCATGACATAATTAATTTTTTCTATCAATCTCAAACTGTACCAACTACTTTTTGAGTTTCTGTGTAACATCAGGTACAGTAAAAATTTCATCGGTCTTGTAAATTTCGACAATTTCCGTCGATGTAATTTTTTTCACTTTGAAAATTTCGTCAAGCTTGAAAATGAGCCTCTCGATAATTTTTGAAAAGTTCGTCACCTAATATGGCTGCGTTGTCCAGCTCAAACATGAAGGTAATGCGTCAGTTAATTCAAGACAATAATACGATCAGGATAACACTCTCAATGGAAGATAGGGACAGCAGTGCTCCCCTGCAAGCAGCTGTTCACAATAAAGATGGTTTAGATGTGAATTCCCCCTCTCATTTGCCAGAACGTCGGCCTTTTGTCTTTAGTCTCATTACTATTACCTGGCTCAAAGTGCGTTTTCAAGCCTGTAAATAGAAGTCACAGGCCGCAGCTCTTTCAATTTTTTAAATAATATATATTTTTTTCATTTTTTCTTTAACTCTCCTCCCCCTTCCCCGCTTAAGGCATATCGTCAGCAGATCGTTCATAATCCTAGTGAGATGAGAAGGCAATTTTCATATTTGTTCAGAGGACCTTGTTCGAGTAAGATCATCAGCGGGAGATCATTTGCGATCCGAGCAGACTATTTGTAGCAGACTCTGTTCTCGTAAGATCATCAGCGGGAGATCCGAGTGAGACGAAAAGGCAATTTTCATATCTTCATCAGGAGATCATTCGCGATGTAAGCAAGAATAAAATGCAATTTCCATATTAGTTGAAGGGACTTAGGAACTTCGTTCGCGGAAGATCATCAGCAGGAGATCATTATTTACCCCCCCCCCCTTGGATTGTTTAAATATTATAATATATATATTTTTTTATTTTAACTTTAACCCCCTCCCCTTCCCTCACTCACGGCACTTGGAAAAGTGCCTGTAATTTTTTATGAATTTACAGATGGTAAATCTAGAAGGCCTAGCTGACACCCAATCCTGAAAAAAGCCCTACATGTAACAAACGTTGATAAGTGCATAATATGCCGCGTCCAGTTTATAATGCAAGGTTGCAATTAGGTTTATCTTGATCCCTCTCCTCTATCAGGAGATATGTTGCTTACTGAAAAGACAATTCTCAACTTACTTTTCGGGTAAGTTCATATAACTTAATCGAGATGCACTAATAAATAGATTATTATTTACCACCAGATAATGACTTAGGAATTTGTGATAAATATCCCACAATATATGAGGGACAAGGATAAAAGCCGGTAAGGATAAAAGCCTGTAGGTTGGAGTTTTGAAAATTTTGTCATACCCAGGAGTCAGGGAGACGTAATTTTTTTTAAAAAGTCGGATTTACGCAATTTACAATATTAATAGATTTTTAAGCAACGAAATTTTCAAGTTTTTACGGTAATACACCTTGGTGTGAATCATGGTCAACTTACATGGCACACACTGCATCAGTTTTTCAGAACCAAGGTATCGAAGTACATATCCCCTCTCGCACCCGCATTTCCCCCAGTCACACTCCCCCTTGATACATTTTATCTTGTCTGGCATTCCAATTTGGCCATTTTCACTGCAGTCTGCTGCAGTTTTGCACAATTTATTTGCCTCTGGAATATATATATAGAGAGAAAGAGTGGACTTGTATGAACACAACATGACTGTATGGTTACTAGTAGTTCATTTAAGACAAAGAAATGGAACAGGAATTGTGAAAGTTATTCAACAAGACAACTATACACTTACCGCTGTAGTAGAAAGTTACGACCAGGAATAGAATGTTAAAAAAGACCTGGAATGGAAATTTTTTTATTTTATTTTCTGTATTTTCTTAACAAGCCAGATGATGTTCAAGAACCTAATTAAGTTAAACATGTTATAAAATGAAAAGATTTCTTTACTGTTCAACATTTAAGGAATACATTATTAATAAGTTAAACTTATTGTGTGGCTTTCTAATTTTGAAATGATTAATTCACACACATTTTACAATGTATGCCTAAAACATAGATATTATTGCAGTACTTAATTTATAAAACATGAAAACAAAATGTTTGAATAATATCCAGGAGAATGTGATGGTAGCCTTACCTACCTTCATATTTGATTTGGTTTGTCATACAAAATGTAGAATATTGATTAATATCAAACTTCATAAGTCCAAATGTATCAGAGTTAACTTCACAAGCCTTCAACCTTGCCTATGATACCTAGGATAACTGAAATAACTGCATCACTATGCTTAGTGTTTTTTGTAAGCCCCCCTGGTGAGAGGAATGTGTCAATGTTATCATCTTTGACAAAGTTCAGTGAATGGAAATTTATAATAATTTTGTCAGTGAAACCTGCTTATATTGTAGATATATAAGCTTCATCATAATTTAAATGTCTGAGCAGCATTGTTGTCCATTTGATTTCAATTTTCACTATTTTAAAACTGTATGTATGATAAAAATCAAATTATGAGAAAACATACAGCATTAAAAATGACACAGAACAACAGTACTTGTGATCGGAATACAAAACTTTTGAGACATTACAATTTCTAAATATAATTGTTAGAATAACAGACTAATACGGGATGTGAAATGATTTCAAGTTTTAAAAAGCTGATGTGAAAGGGAGTAATTCACCTACTAGTATGAAATGGTTTTTTGATAGCAATGTTTGATAGCAATCTGTCTAAACAGAGCAAGAAATACTGTGCCTTGACAGATTATCATGCAGGATGTACTTAGCTAAGTTAAAAACATTTCGTCATCAAATCCCAGTGGTCAGAGTTATCAGACCCTGCCAAGGGCCAAGGGGATGTTTCAAATTTAAAGATACTTTTAGACCAAAAATTTATTTTTAATTTTAAAGTACTTTGACCGAAGCAAATCAGTAGTTGTCCTTTCAGTTGAAATATGGTTCCTGCTATTAAACAGCAAGAAAAAATGTCTATTATTTAACATTTTCTACCAAGGTGCCAGTATGAAGGAAAGACAACTCATTGGTCTAGCTGATTTATCCACATTTTATTATTTAATAATTGTTGTAATGAGTTGTAATGTATTTTTTAATAGTAAGAATTTTTGAAGTGTGTGTGTGTGTTTAACATTGAGTTTGATAATTTATTTCCTAATAATCTGTTTTTTTAATGACAAATAGATTCGGATGCTGACACGTTGGTGTGAAAGTTTAGATCTCAACATGATAATCCAGGATAAAGGATTTTTTGCTCTATTTGTGTGTGTGTAATTTGAATGTATAAAGGTTACACATTTGGTAACGTTCAAATTGTAACTTTGATCCCCTTAAATTTATGATTCAGAGAGAGAGAGAGAGAGAGAGAGAGAGAGAGAGAGAGAGAGAGAGAAAGAGAGAGAGAGAATGCATAGCAGCTACCCAAAAATTCAGAATGAAAAAAAAAAAAATTATGAAAATTCTTTTATTTTTTAATCAGTACACAAAAATGAAAAAAAAAAAAAAAAAAAAAAGTTGAACATCCTGGAATGTTAACTGTTGTATTGCTGATTTACAGTTATTTTCAAGAATAGTAATTATAATAGCAATAATAACCACTTTTGCCTTGATATTTATGCAAATAACTAATTAAGCCAGTTATGAGTAAGACAAACATAAGTAAGATCCAAGATGATTGAAAGCAAGTCCCTGGAGAAATACGTTTATCAAATAGCAGTGGTTACCAGATTCTTCTTCACTTTCACATCTTCATTTCAGTGAGGATTGTGGAGATTATTTGTAGGGTTTTTTTCATGTCAAAATTTATAAATGAAGAAACTAGCTTGCTTGGGATATGAAACCCAGGAGGGCATAGGATATCTATGATCTCCATAATACTGATAATTTTTAACATGGCTAAGGTCAGCATCTTTTTAAATTTAATTGTCTCTGTCACTCATCTTCCTTTACACCATGTTGCAAACACTGATTTAACACTAGATTTAATGATTAATTTCATTTTATGTGCATCTTTTTTATTTGAAATGACAAATGACGTCTTGACAAGCAATTGGAAAAAACTTTTTGTGATTCTTGTGAGAGTTTGTTTTATTTCTACCTAGTATAATTGTTTACAAGTACTCTTTCATCAATGAAGCAAAATAAGTAAAAGGAAATATATGCTTAAAAGTTATCTTGCATCAATGGAGCAAAAGTAGAAAATGTAATTTGTTGAAATATTCTGTAAGACCAATGAAGCAAAGTAAAAATACTAAGAACTGAAACTATATACATTTGAAAAGTAAAATGCAAATAATTAATTGTTAATAGATTGGTTGATATTTTCTCCTATTTCTATCAGACTTTTATCATTGGGTATCATTGGGTACTTTCTACATTAAATTCAAAGAATAATTAGTGAATTTATATCATATTGTAGTCTATTTTGATCAGGCTCTCATCCTTCTATGGTTTTCTGTGTTCTTCCTTGAATCCTCAAGGGCTGCCATTGCTTTATGTGTGCCTCTGCTAGTATAGCACTGCTAACACAATAGGGAGCACTGCAGACAGCAGACCAGAGGTTATGATTGCAACAGCTGAAATCAAAATATCAAATGCATACAATCCATGTTAGCCCTTTATAATGTTTAACATAGCGTGTCTTTGACTATTAGTATGCACTTTAACCTTGATCGTCAAAGTTTGTTGTATCAGAAACTGTTTGATTTCATAGTTGTCTTTTGAGTTTTTAGTTTCAAATTTTTTAGTCAATTTTGTAGTTGATATGGAAACTAGCAAATCGTTTAAAGTAGAAATTAAGAACTCAAAAGTGAAGGCGGAACTGTTTGCCAGTTTGTGGATCTGACTGAGCTGCCCCTTTGACCAGGTAAGGTCAACTGAATAAAAATTTGAATAGGTGGTGTTTCTCCAATTGGGTCAAATAAGGACCACTTTTTCAGAACCTCCCCCCCCCCCCCTCTACCCTTTTGAAATTGCTGGCTTCAGGCTTTGACCTACATGTGTATTATATTTAAGTAAAAAAATATGTAACCAAATTCTCATTCAAGTTTAGTCAGGTAAAATTCAGAAATCAGCAGGTTTTATGTATGAGGATTTTCTGTACTTAATTAATGATTTTCAGTTTTTTTCCCTAGTTTTAGCCAAAAGGATATTTTTTAATTTGGCTTGTTTTTGATTTTAATTTTCCATTATAACCCTGGCATGTATGAATACTTGTTTTTATCATGAACCAAGATCATTGTAATGCCTTATTTTGGAATATTTTGTTCACAAATTTTTAAGCAATATGTAATTGTTAGATATAATTACAATTTTGGCACAATCCATCCACACATTGAGCATTAGGACTGATGCCTTGGCAGTTGCTGTCTCCAAAGCATGCACTTCCTACTGTTCCTATAAGTGATAAGAATATGACAAGATTAATGACCTCTAAAATTAAGATACCATTTTATGACAAGCCTGTTCAAAGATTTAAGTTCAAATAGCCTACCTGTTCACCTGTTCAGGTATCATATGTTAAAATTGTCGCATTAAGTAAAAGGCCATGTCATTTGTGAAAGGTCAGATTTTATTGGTTGTGACAGTACAAGAGGTGCCATAAAAATAATTAAAACTTTGCAGGAGAAGGTTATACTTTAACATAGGTAAATGGGAAATGAATTTTATTTATCTACATGGTGATATGCCAGGGCCCACAGCGACATGTTGTGGCTTCTTCCGAAGAGCGGTTTGTGGCACAGTTATCTCCACAGTAAAGTCCCTTGCTGGCATCACAGAATATGTTTCGAATGTCAGAACATGGTTCCCCATATGCTTTAGCTGTATATAGAAGTCAAATATTAAAGAGAAAAAATGATTAGGGGTTAGGAAGTTTCCCCCGTTGTTTCAGAATTTCCTGCTATCTTGAAAACTTTTTTTTGTTCATTGTTTTTTTTTTTAAGACTAATTCTGGTAACCCTCACTAGCCTGTCACTGAGTTTCAGAATTTGATGCTGACTGTCTCCAATACTGTTCTGCTACATAACATTTGAAAAAATCCCAACTTACTTTGGTTTGAACATCTAGATTTATCATAACTTGGTTTCAATCCTGGAGGACATGAACACCTATTTGATGTAGTATCACATATCATACTTGCTGGACTTAAATAGATGTTACTGTAACAGTCAGTGTCTTCCATACACATGTCACCAATTTTTGCTGCAAAGAAAAAATGAAAAGGTATGAGTAATATCTTGGAAAAAGAAATATACAAGTCTTTAAAAAAAAGTTTTTGGGTGCTAAAGTTAGTGGATCAACTACTCTGCAACTGATTACCAATTTATGATGAACTAAAATATCTGCACTTTCATCACATAAGACAGCAGTGACTGATGAATCTGTTGTGTAATATTCTCATCAATCAAACAAGATAAAACATCCAAGTATGTCAGTTGCAGTATTGTAACTGCAGTATGAGACTGCACTGCTGCACTTCAGCTGACCTATATTTGGAACTTCTACAGCTTGGAGAAAGTTCATTAAAGAACTGTACTTGGAAAGTGGAATACACTCCTTGGCCATCCAAACCACTGCTTTCATCGCTGTCATGATGGCCTTCTCTTGCGCATTCTGGGCTTTGGTAGTTGCTGTGTTCATGTACTCCTGTTCCTTTGGTAACTGTTAAAATAAGCATTGCAATTCAGCAATGCTGCCTACTACTTTATTTATTAGATAGTATATATATACTTAGAAACTTAAAAATTCACTAATCATTTTGTTCATAATAACAATCAGTGATATTCAAACTAAAATGACTGAAATGCAATCCCATTACTTGGCATAATAATTTCCATATCATAATTTGGCAGGAAACTACAAAATTTTATCCAAAACAATACAAATAGAAATGGAAGACATAATTATAGTGTAAATTGACTGCTTATCCCACCAAAAACGTAGTACCTTGCTCAAGCCAAATACACAAGAAACTCAAAATAATTTAAACTCCCTGTACGCATGCGTACATCTCTAAGTAGGCTGCACACGTGCTAACACTTATCATTCGTTTTTTAATTGACTTTGAATCAGAATGAATTTATTTAAGTTACCTGGATAGCGCACACATCATCGGTCATTCCAACGTGGCGGGTGAGCGTACTGGTGAGAAAGTTGGACGATACCCACAGGGCCATGGTATTACGTTTGCCAGCCTTTTTGCATGGTGATTTTTCCTTGTCGAAGCACAGCCACGGGAATCTCTGCAGCCAACTTTGCTGAAGCTTCCTAACGGAAGTTAGTAGAGGCTCCCTATCTGGTGCATTACCAAAAAAAAAAAAAAAAAAAAAAAACGAAAGCTTCGGCTGCTTTGCTTTTGACACGGCCATCTCTGAACTTCCGGTATACTCTCCACGCAGAGAAGGTACTCTCCATGCAGAGAACGCGTGCAGTAGACGAGACTAGAACTTTGAAGTTTGGTTTTCCCGACTGGCACTTGTTCCAAGTTTAGAAAAATTTTGATGCGTTTAAAAATACACAATTTTAACAGTTTAAAATATGTTAAACAAATAAACTCCGTTTTTTCACTGTATTTAATTTCATTTATTTTGATGCGCCCTTGGGACGCACTGCTATTGAAAAAGTGCGTCATTACAAATATGTGCGCGCCAATGGCGCAAAAACGCAGCCTCGAGAGATCCCTGGGGGTGGGGTGTTTTTAATAAGTAAAATGGTAGATACATTATTGAATATTTAGATGCACAAAAATCTGGGCCCAGTTTCATAAAGGACATTTAGCACTAACCAGTGTATAAGCCTAACTAGTGGATAAATTCTCCTAACACCCATTAACTAAAAGATGGTTAAAATTGATAAAGCCGATTAGTTAACTGACCAGTGTTTAACTGGATAAAATATTTAAAGGTCAGTTAACTAACCAGCTGTTTAAACACTGTTTATAAAACACAATTTCAACCATCATTTAGTGAATGGGTATTAGCAGAATTTATCCACTGGTTAGACTTAAACACTGGTTTGTGCTACACGTCCTTGAAGGTGGGCTCTCATTTTTGGTATTTTGACGATAAGAAACCCTGTCAATAACCTGAAGTTCAAAACTTACCTGATACACAGATAGGATATTTTTTCCCTAGAAAGTATAGTGGACCATTATAAATAATGGACAGCATTGTCGGCTCTGCTGCTGAGGAACACCCACATTATCGAGGAGTAGCTGACAAAGTACGATTCCAATAAAATCCTCTAGTACATGTGTCTCCTGCTGTGACCCCCTCTGATGGCATCAGTTGGTTGGGGTCACCACAGTGCTCCCCTCCCCACATCTTCACATAGCCTGATTGACAGGTACATTGGCCATCTTTGCACTCAGAGTTGGCAGCACCACATGTACCAGTTTCATCAAAGGTAGAACAGGATTCCCCTACTTTTTTTACTGAAATATTAATTAATTAATTAATCGCCAATTTTTAAAGATGAGCCTTTGCAAGTATCATAAAATAGTAATGTAAAATTTCAGATAGGTATTTTAATTGCAATTATATAAATTGTACTTTAGATTTTTAAGGTGTGTGTTTTTATTGCAGTAGGAATTGTAATACAAATAAAAAATACCAATGGATAACATGGTGCAGTATTTACACATATAACCTATTGTTGATTATTAGTTGCAGAGAGTTCACTTTGTGTTTGATGCAAATAGATATCAAAATTTATTGACATCTGAGTAAGACATAATTTTCCTTTTTTTTCAGAGCAAAACTATTGTTGCTTAGGGTCATGCATGAATTTCAATTTCCTAGAGAATGATCTACTTCTTTGATAACTTTTATACAGCATGATATAATTAATTTTTCATCAATCTCAAACTGTACCAACTACTTTTTGAGTTTCTATGTAACATCAGGTACAGTAAAAACTTGAAAATTTCGTCGGTCTTGTAAATTTCGTCGGAAGACGATTTTAGTCAACGTAATTTTTTTCACTTTGAAAATTTCGTCGAGCTTGAAAATGAGCCTCTCTATAATTTTTGAAAAGTTTGTCACCTAATATGGCCTCGTTGTCCAGCTCAAACATGAAGGTATTGCGTCAGATAATTCAAGACAATAATACGATCAGGATAACACTCTCAATGGAAGATAGGAACAGCAGTGCGCCCCTGCAAGCGGCTGCTCACAATAAAGATGGTTTAGATGTGAATTCCCCCTCTCATTTGCCAGAACGTCGGCCTTTTGTCTTTAGCTAGTCTCATTACTATTACCTGGCTCAAGCTGCGTTTTCAAGCCTGTAAATAGAAGTCACAGGCTGCAGCTCTTTCAATTTTTTAAATAATATATATTTTTTCATTTTTTCTTTAACTCTCCTCCCCCTCCCCCGCTTAAGGCATATCGTCAGCAGATCGTTCATAATCCTAGTGAGATGAGAAGGCAATTTTCATATTTGTTCAGAGGACCTTGTTCGAGTAAGATCATCAGCGGGAGATCATTTGCGATCCGAGCAGACTATTTGTAGCAGACTCTGTTCTCGTAAGATCATCAGCGGGAGATCCGAGTGAGACGAAAAGGCAATTTTCATATCTTCATCAGGAGATCATTCGCGATGTAAGCAAGAATAAAATGCAATTTCCATATTAGTTGAAGGGACTTAGGAACTTCGTTCGCGGAAGATCATCAGCAGGAGATCATTATTTACCCCCCCCCCCTTGGATTGTTTAAATATTATAATATATATATATATTTTTTATTTTAACTTTAACCCCCTCCCCTTCCCTCACTCACGGCACTTGGAAAAGTTCTTACAGGCACTTGGAAAAGTGCCTGTAATTTTTTATGAATTTACAGATGGTAAATCTAGAAGGCCTAGCTGACACCCAATCCTGAAAAAAGCCCTACATGTAACAAACGTTGATAAGTGCATAATATGCCGCGTCCAGTTTATAATGCAAGGTTGCAATTAGGTTTATCTTGATCCCTCTCCTCTATCAGGAGATATGTTGCTTACTGAAAAGACAATTCTCAACTTACTTTTCAGGTAAGTTCATATAACTTACTCGAGATGCACTAATAAATTGATTATTATTTACCACCAGAAAATGACTTGGGAAGTTGTGATAAATATCCCACAACATATGAGGGACAAGGATAAAAGCCGGTAAGGATAAAAGCCTGTAGGTTGGAGTTTTGAAAATTTTGTCATACCCAGGAGTCAGGGAGACATAATTTTTTTTAAAAAGTCAGATTTACGCAATTAACAATATTAATAGATTTTTAAGCAACGAAATTTTCAAGTTTTTACGGTAATACACCTTGGTGTGAATCATGGTGAACTTACATGGCACACACTGCATCAGTTTTTCAGAACCAAGGTATCGAAGTACATATCCCCTCTCGCACCCGCATTTTCCCCAGTCACACTCCCCCTTGATACACTTTATCTTGTCTGGCATTCCAATTTGGCCATTTTCACTGCAGTCTGCTGCAGTTTTGCACAATTTATTTGCCTCTGGAATATATATTTATAGAGAGAGAGAGAGAGAGAGAGAGAGAGAGAGAAAGAGTGGACTTGTATGAACACAACATGACTGTTTGGTTATTAGTAGTTAATTTTAGACAAAGAAATGAACAGGAATTGTGAAAGTTATTCAACAAGACAACTATACACTTACCGCTGTAGTAGAAAGTTGTGACCAGGAATAGAATGTTAAAGAAGACCTGGAATGGAAATTTTTTAATTTTATTTTCTGTATTTTCTTAACAAGGGAGATGATGTTCAAGAACCTAATTAAGTTAAACATGTTATAAATGAAAAGATTTCTTTACTGTTCAACACTTAAGGAATACATTATTAATAAGTTAAACTTATTGTGTGGCTTTCTAATTTTGAAATGATTAATTCATGCACATTTTACAATGTATGCCTAAAACATAGATATTATTGCAGTACTTAATTTATAAAACATGAAAACAAAATGTTTGAATAATGTCCAGGAGAATGTGATGGTAGCCTTACCTACCTTCATATTTGATTTGGTTTGTCATACAAAATGTAGAATATTGATTAATATCAAACTTCATAAGTCCAAATGTATCAGAGTTAACTTCACAAGCCTTCAACCTTGCCTATGATACCTAGGATAACTGAAATAACTGCATCACTATGCTTAGTGTTTTTTGTAAGCCCCCCTGGTGAGAGGAATGTGACAATGTTATCATCTTTGACAAAGTTCAGTGAATGGAAATTTATAAGAATTTTGTCAGTAAAACCTGCTTATATTGTAGATATATAGACTTCATCATAATTTAAATGTCTTAGCAGCATTGTTATCCATTTGATTTCAATTTTCACTATTTTAAAACTGTATGTATGATAAAAATCAAATTATGAGAAAACATACAGCATTAAAAATGACACAGAACAACAGTACTTGTGATTGGAAATACAAAACTTTTGAGACATTCCAAATTGATTTTATTTGATACTTTTGATCTATTTTTCTAAATATATTTGTTAGAATAACAGACTAATTAGGGATGTGATATAATTTCAAGTGTTAAAAAGCTGATGTGAAAGGGAGTAATTCACCTACTTATATGAAATGGTTTTTCGATAGCAATGTTTGATAGCAATCTGTCTAAACAGAGCAAGAAATACTGTGCCTTGACAGATTATCATGCAGGATGTATTTAGCTAAGTTAAAAACATTTCGTCATCAAATCCCAGTGGTCAGTGTTATCAGACCCTACCAAGGGCATGTTTCAAATTTAAAGATACTTTTAGACCAAAAATTTATTTTTAATTTTAAATTACTTTGACCCAAGCAAATCAGTAATTGTCCTTTCAGTTGAAATATGGTTCCTGCTATTAAACAGTAAGAAAAATGTCTATTATTTAACATTGTCTACCAAGGTACCAGTATGAAGGAAAGACAACTCATTGGTCTAGCTGATTTATCCACATTTTATTATTTAATAATTTCTTCATGAGTTGTAATGTATTTTTTAATAGTAAGAATTTTTGAAGTATGTGTGTGTGTTTAACATTGAGTGTTACACATTTGGTAACGTTCAAATTGTAACTTTGATCCCCTTAAATTTATGATTCAGAGAGAGAGAGAGAGAGAGAGAGAGAGAGAGAGAGAGAGAGAGAGAATGCATAGCAGCTACCCAAAAATTCAGAATGAAAAAAAAAAAAATTATGAAAATTCTTTTATTTTTTAATCAGTACACAAAAATGAAAAAAAAAAAAAAGTTGAACATCCTGGAATGTTAACTGTTGTATTGCTGATTTACAGTACTTTTCAAGAATAGTAATTATAATAGCAATAATAACCACTTTTGCCTTGATATTTATGCAAATAACTAATTAAGCCTGTTATGAGTAAGACAAACATAAGTAAGATCCAAGATGATTGAAAGCAAGTCCCTGGAGAAATACGTTTATCAAATAGCAGTGGTTACCAGATTCTTCTTCACTTTCACATCTTCATTTCAGTGAGGATTGTGGAGATTATTTGTAGGTTTTTTTTCATGTCAAAATTTATAAATGAAGAAACTAGCTTGCTTGGGATATGAAACCCAGGAGGGCATAGGATATCTATGATCTCCATAATACTGCTAATTTTTAACATGGCTAAGGTCAGCATCTTTTTAAATTTAATTGTCTCTGTCACTCATCTTCCTTTACACCATGTTGCAAACACTGATTTAACACTAGATTTAATGATTAATTTCATTTTATGTGCATCTTTTTTATTTAAAATGACAAATGACGTCTTGACAAGCAATTGGAAAAAACTTTTTGTGATTCTTGTGAGAGTTTGTTTTATTTCTACGTAGTATAATTGTTTACAAGTACTCTTTCATCAATGAAGCAAAATAAGTAAAAGGAAATGTATGCTTAAAAGTTATCTTGCATCAATGGAGCAAAAGTAGAAAATGTAATTTGTTGAAATATTCTGTAAGACCAATGAAGCAAAGTAAAAATACTAAGAACTGAAACTATATACATTTGAAAAGTAAAATGCAAATAATTAATTGTTAATAGATTGGTTGATATTTTCTCCTATTTCTATCAGACTTTTATCATTGGGTATCATTGGGTACTTTCTACATTAAATTCAAAGAATAATTAGTGAATTTATATCATATTGTAGTCTATTTTGATCAGGCTCTCATCCTTCTGTGGCTTTCTATGTTCTTTCTTGACTGCTCATGGGCTGCCACTGCTTTATGTGTGTCTCTGCTAGTACAGCACTGCTAACACAATAGGGAGCACTGCAGACAGCAGACCAGAGATTATGATGGCAACAGCTGAAATCAAAATATCAAATGCATACAATCCATGTTAGACCTTTATAATGTTTAACATAGTGTGTCTATCACTATTAGTATGCACTTTAACCTTGATCGTCAAAGTTTGTTGTATCAGAAACCGTTTGATTTCATAGTTGTCTTTTGAGTTTTTAGTTTCAAATTTTTGAGTCAATTTTGTAGTTGATATGGAAACTAGCAAATCGTTTAAAGTAGAAATTAAGAACTCGAAAGTGAAGGCGGAACTGTTGGCCAGTTTGTGGATCTGACTGAGCTGCCCCTTTGACCAGGTAAGGTCAACTGAATAAAAATTTGAATAGGTGGTGTTTCTCCAATTGGGTCAAATAAGGACCACTTTTTCAGAACCTCCCCCCCTCTACCCTTTTGAAATTGCTGGCTTCAGGCTTTGACCTACATGTGTATTATATTTGAGTAAAAAATATGTAACAAAAATTCTCATTCAGGTTTAGTCAGGTAAAATTAAGAAATCAGCAGGTTTTATGTATGAGGATTTTCTGTACTTAATTAATGATTTTCATTTTTTTTACTAGTTTTAGCCAAAAGGATATTTTTTAATTTGGCTTGTTTTTTATTTTAATTTTCCATTATAACCCTGGCATGTATGAATACTTATTTTTATCATGAACCAAGATCATTGTAATGCCTTATTTTGGAATATTTTGTTCACAAATTCTTAAGCAATATGTAATTGTTAGATAGAATTACAATTTTGGCACAATCCATCCACACATTGAGCATTAGGACTGATGCCTTGGCAGTTGCTGTCTCCAAAGCATGCACTTCCTACGGTTCCTAGAAGTGATAAGAATATGACAAGATTAATGACCTAATAGATAAAATTGAGATACCATTTTATGACAAGAGTGTTCAAACATTAAAGTTCAAATAGCCTACATGTTTAGGTATCATATGTTCAATTTCTTGCGTTAGGTAAACGGCCATGTCATTTGTGAAATGTCAGATTTTATTGGTCTTGACAGAACAAGAAATACAACAAGGTAGCATAGAAACAACTAAAACTTTGCAGCAGAAGGTTATTCTTTAGCGTAGCCTAATAGGTAGATAGGAAATTTAAATAATTCATAGACAAGAGTGTCATACTTACTTAGTGTACAAGTTTTGCCAGAGGTGATATGCCAGGGCCCACAGCGACACGTTGTAGCTTCTTCTGAAGAACGGTTTGTGGCACAGGTATCTCCACAGACAAGTCCCTTGCTGGCATCACATGAGCTTGATGAACATGATTCCCCATGTGCTTTAGCTTTATATAGAAGTAAAATAGCTATAATTATAGAGTAAGGATTATGGGTTAAGTAGTGATACCCCCTCCCTTGTTTCAGAATTTGGCGGTCTTTTTTTATTTTTATTTATTTATTTTTTTTAAATTAATGGTGGTAATTTTTCTTTCAGTAGCCTGTCACTGAGTTTCAGAATTTGATGCTGACTGTCTCCAATAATGTTCCACTACATTACATTTGAAGAAATCCCAACCTACTTTGGTTTGAACATCCAGATTTATCATAACTTGGTTTCAGCCCTGGAGGACATAAACACCTATTGGATGTAGTATCACATATCATTCTTGTTGGACTTAAATGCATGTAGATGTTACTGTAACAGTCAGAGTCTTCCATGCACATGTCACCAATTTTTGCTGAAAAAAAAAAAAAATGAAAAGGTATGAGTAATATCTTGGAAAAAGAATGGAATGATGTGCATGTATATCTGGAATAATTGTAATTTAAGGTATTTATTTAGCCTAACATATTATCCACTAACTGTTGAATACCATGGTAGGTGCTGTGCTGGGTAAAAACATCTGTATGTTTTTACTTTGCTTTTCATGGCCATAATTGTTAGTACACTGACAAGGGGTGGGGTGTTTTTAATACGTAAAATGGTAGATACATTATTGAATAAAAAGATGCACAAAAATTCTGGGCCCAGTTTCATAAAGGATGTTTAGCACTAACCAGTGTATAAGCCTAACTAGTGGATAAATTCTCCTAAAACCCATTAATTAAAAGATGGTTAAAATTGATAAAGCCGATTAGTTAACTGACCAGTGTTTAATTGGATAAAATATTTAAAGGTCAGTTAACTAACCAGCTGTTTAAATACTGTTTATGAAACACAGTTTCAACCCTCGTTTAGTGAATGGGTGTTAGATGAATTTATCCACTGGTTAGATTTTTAAAAACACTAAGTAGTGCTAAACGTCCTTGAAGCTGGGCTCTCATTTTTGGTATTTTGATGATAATAAACCCTGTCAATAACCTGAAGTTCAAAACTTACCTGAAACACAGTTAGGATATTTCTTCCCTAGAAAGGATGATGAACCATCATAAGTAATGGACAGTATTGTCCGCTTTGCTGTTGATGAACACCCACATGATTGAGGAGTAGCTGACAAAATATGATTCTGATAAATTCCTATAGTACATGTGTCTCCTGCTGTGACCCCCTCTGATGGCAGCAGTTGGTTGGGGTCACCACAGTGCTCCCCTCCCCACATCTTCACATAGCCTGATTTACAGGTACATTGGCCATCTTTGCACTCAGAGTTGGCAGCACCACATGTACCTGTTTCATCAAAGGTAGAACAGGACTCTCCTACTTTCTTTACTGAAATATTAATTAATTAATTAATTAATTAATCGCCAATTTTTAAAGATGAACCTTTATGCCATTTCAGTTGCAAGTATCATAAAATGATAACTAAAATTTCAGATAGGTATTTTAATTGCAGTTATGAAAATTGTACTTTAGATTTTTAAGGTGTGTGTTTTTATTGCAGTAGGAAATGTAAAACAAATCAAAAATACCAATGGATAACATGATGCAGTATTTACACATATAACCTATTGTTGATTATTAGGTGCAGAGAGTTCACTTTGTGTTTGATGCAAATAGATATCAAAATTTACTGACATCTGTGTAAGACATAATTTTCCTTTTTTTTTCAGAGCAAAACTATTGTTGCTTAGGGTCATGCGTGAATTTCAATTTCCTGATCTTCTTCTTTGATAATTAATTTTTTCTATCAATCTCAAACTGTACCAACTACTTTTTGAGAATCTATGTAACATCAGGTACATTAAAAACTTGAAAATTTCGTCAGTCTTGTAAATTTCGACAATTTCCGTCGATGTAATTATTTTCACTTTGAAAATTTCGTCAAGCTTGAAAATGAGCCTCTTGATAATTTTTGAAGTTTGTCACCTAATGTGGCTGTGTTGTCCAGCTCAAACATGATGGAAATGCGTCAGTTAATTCAAGACAATAATACCATCAGGATAACACTCTCAATGGAAGATAGGAACAGCAGTGGGCCCCTGCAAGCGGCTGCTCACAATAAAGATGGTTTAGATGTGAATTCCACCTCTCAATTGCGGGAACGTCGGCTTTTTGTCTTTAGTTTCATTACTATTACCTGGCTTAAGGTGCATTTTCAAGCCGGTAAATAGAAGTCACAGGCCGCAGCTCTTTCGGTTTTTTATATAATATATATTTTCATTTTTTCTTTAACTCTCCTCCCCCTCCCCTGCTTACGGCATATCTTCAGCAGAGAATCCATTCGCATAATACCATTAGCAGATCGTTCACAATCCTAGTGAGACGAGAAGGCAATTTTCATATTTGTTCAGAGGACCTTGTTTGAGTAAGATCATCAGCTGGAGATCCGAGTGAGATGAAAAGGCAATTTTCATATCTTCATCGGGAGATCATTCGCGATGTAAGTAAGAATAAAATGCAATTTTCATATTAGTTCAAGGGACTTAGGAACTTCGTTTGTAGAAGATAGTCAGCGGGAGATCATTATTCCCCCCCCCCCCTTGGATTTTATATATATATATATATCATCATTTTCTGGTGGTAAATAATAATCTGTTTATTAGTGCATCTCGATTAAGTTATATGAACTTGCCCGAAAAGTAAGTTGAGAATTGTCTTTTCGGTAAAAAACATACCTCCTGATAGAGGAGATAAACCTAATTCCAACCTTGCATGCAGGGCTTTTTCCAGGATTGGGTGTCAGGCCTTACCATCTGTAACTTCATAAAAAATTATAGGCACTTTTCTAAGTGCCGTGATTGGGGGAAGGGGAGGGGGTTAAAGTAAAAATGAAAAAAAAAAAATATATATATGGGTCAAAACACAGTATTTGAAATGTCTCTGACGGGACATTTTAGAGACAATTTTAAAAATTACAGTTGGTAAACAATCCACATGGTTACTTTTAAATACATTTTTATTTAGCTGGACCATAAAGGATTATGTAAAACAAGCAGCTAATTTGTATTGAAATTAATGTGGGAATGACAATCACTTAAAGGTCTGTCTCTGACGGGACATTTTTGACCCCTGTATTTTTTTACTAAAACTCCAATGCAAAATTCTCTTTGAAATTTCATTTAATCAAGACTTTTGTGATTCATATTGCAAGGTACAAGTCTTGGGAAGCAATCAATGCACAAACAGGCCAGTTTTGTTTACTTTCCTTGGCAGCATGGGCTGTTAAGTGTAAAAAGTCACTGTCTCTGACGGGACGTCTCTGACGGGACACTTTTGGGCACTATTGAAAAATCTTAGNGGAAAACTATGTCACTTACTGTTCTCAAACTTACAGGAAAGAAACATGGGACTAAAATACAGTTTCATTAGGCAGTGCAGTCTATTTGGTAAATTTTTCTGGCAGTTAATCAGTTTTTTGTGAAAATTTAATTTTTCACATATTGGCAATTTCAAGGTGTGACTTAGAACCACCTTGGGCTTGAAGACCCATGCTAGTCACATTTTCTGAAAATCCACGATACGTATATTTTATTATTAAAAACTGATGGTCTTTATGCTGTTAAGCATTATGAAATATTGCATCAAAATAGAAGAAAACACAATTTTGGGTATTGCTGCCATGATGACCATCATGGGAAAACCATATTACTTATGATTGTCAAACTTTTAAAAAAGAAACACAGGACTAAAATGCAGCTCGAGTTGGAAAAGCAGTCTAATTGACTTCTTTTTCTGGAAGTTTTACATTTTCAAAGTGTGAACTTGAACTCCCATGGACCTGAAGCCTTATGCTTGTTACACATTTTACTTACATTGGTATTACCTGTTGAGCATAATTAAAATTTGATGTTGAATTTGCAGTTTAACATAATGTACTTTTACATCAGAATTGACAGTAGCCTATTTTCTTATTTCCTGCTTTTTGTCTGTACATTTGACAGCTTTGCTGCCTTGTTCTTTTAATGCATTATAAGCCAGTTTTATACATATACACATTAATCTTCAGTGGTCTTTCTTTACCTCCCACATGACATGCAGATGCTTTTGGCATCTCTAATAAAGTATCATCATATGATTGAAAGGTGTTGTGATTTCTAGGTCCCGTGGGGCAGCCTCAGCCCGCAGCAGCTCCAAAGGGCACCCGCAGTGGCAAAGGTTCCTCAAAAGGATCACTAGAGAGTAGCATGGAATGCACCCCTAACTCTTTTACACCAATCGCATCGTAGCACGGGCTTGATCATCGTAAAATGGAGGGAAACGGGTCTCATGGCGCACCCTCAAGTATTATAATATCATGATATTATTTTATAGAGATAAACAGAGGAAAGGGATGAAGGAGGATACAAACAGCTGTCAGATAGGACTGATAAAAAGTTGTTTATCAATGTGTAGACCTTAAAGTGATATTAATGAATGAAAAGAACTCTCAAAATGAATATTTTGAAGGGTCCTAATTGTTACTTGATGACAAGGAGCACAGAAAGCAGAGTAACAATGTAGGATAACTTCATACGGAGAGAATACAGTTACGAAGATAGAAACTTATATATATATACGGGTGAAAGAAGCCACAGGGATTTAAATCTGGTGATTTATAAAGACTGGTATCATACAGAAATGATACCAATTCTGAATGCCAGTGGTTCCCTTTCTTAAAGGAACAATAGATGTGGAATGTTGAGACTAGAGTGAAGGAGGGAGAAATGTTTTTCACAACATAATGACATTTCACACCACTGAGACCTCATCCCCTATTGAAATCCAACACAATTTCTGTCACAGCTAACGCAATGACCGACAAGTCTTCTCACACTTCTCTGTCACACTGGGGCATGCTCTTACATTATCAACTCAAGGTGGACAGAAATGGTTGAAACAAGAACTTTTTTTTCATCTGTAGTGTTGTCAGCCAGGACTGTTTCAACAGTGGTTGGTGAGGCAAGATTTTACACATACTGGTCTACGGAAGAATGAAGAAGATGAGCAAACTTTGGAGATGCCATACTAGCCCAAGTCATGCCTATTTTTGAACTCTAAAAATGGATTGGGACAAAAATGATGAAATTATTAATACTAAGAAGTCTTTCGACTATAGTATTGCACAGATTAACTGCTACACTGAAGCTGTGGTGCAGTTCATTGAACACCCAATCCCTGTCCTTACAGCAGTGGAATATGACCAGGCTTACGGTAACCAGTGAAAAATCTTCTTTCATTGATAGGGATGGTCACATGGATTAATCTGTAATAGGTCTTTTTATCAGATGTTTATACATGGATGAAAAATCTTTTTTTAGTTAATTTTGTTCAGTAAATAGTTCCTCTGTTAGATGTTACATTAAGGATTTTTTTATAAGCAGGGCTTCTCTATTTTTTAGTGGTGCCTGGAAAAATGGCATGTTAAGTTACCCCTAATTTACTCTCCCACTTAGATTTTGAATTGTTTTTAACCGTATGTGTTCCATCTTGTAATAATGTCAACATTTATTGGTGAAATTAGTTGATATGTTTTATGTATGTAAACTGCCTCCAAAAGACGTGTCATTATTGCATTAAGCCCATGCAGATTCTTGGTTGGATTTATAGTCATACATGAAGCTGTCATGCTAGAGAAATCTGGAGTAACAAAGTGCATTTCATTTGTCGTTTTCCCTTCAGTAGAATCATCAAGCAGCCAAGAAAATCACACTGAACACAAATTAGATGGTCGTCTTTCTGGTTACAGATTAAGCACTTACCAAATAGCCAGTGATATTGTTGTCTCCTGTCTGAAGTGCTTTGAAGACCCTGATGACACAGTATGGCTTGTTCTATTAACCATATTCCCTTTTATATCCACATTGGCAAAGGAAAACTCTATGCTGTAATCAGCTATAATACAAAGTTGATGCTGAAGGAAAATGACTAATTGGTGCATTTTGTTCACTCTCTTTTTCTTTTTGAGTTAATAGGTACCTGAAATGTTGCCCTGTAAAATACACATAGACACTAAATGTAAGTAATTGAATGCAAAATTTCAGTTGCGATACTGTTCACCAGCTATTTAAGTTGTTCATATTCTTTCTGTTGCTGCATTTTTTTTTTTTTTTGTCCCAGTGGTTAAAAATTATATTGGTGTATGAGGAGAGAGTGTAAAAGGTTCGCAAAACATTATTACGGGTACTACGGGTATTTAATTCATTACATGTAGATATGTAGAAGTATAGCCCTGTGTTCTGTACACTGTTCAATGTATATGTGCAAAACCATGTGTCACACTGACCTAAATATGTTATTCTGTAATATACCAATAAATGTGCTTTTACATATACATATATATATATTAGTAGCTATGATATTTTATCAGTAGATGTGCACATACATAATTGTCATCATTTGAATCATTATTGAATCAATGAAGTACTGAAAAATAAATTTAAGAGGTGCTTAATTGTGATGCTCTAGTAAGTAGGAAATTGTCAGTAAAAGTGTCGATCATTTCTGGGAGCAGCTTTTCTTAAACTTCTGTATGCATTTTTTTTTGGGGGGGGGGTTGTAAAAAGGAATTTAATTATGGATTTATGTGGCCATATATTTCGGTCTTATGCTATTTAATGATATGAATAGAATAACCATGTTGTAATGTCTGGATAAACTGATACCTTGCTAAACAAGTGAAAAGCTGCACTATGAGACCAATTAATTTTTGTGCATGATATTTAATGTTTTGTTTGTGGAAAAATTTGCTATTAGTGGTACTTGATTATTAGACCACAAAGCGCAAGTCCATCCGTTCATCATGATATAAAAAGCACCATATGATTTAAAAAAAAACAGCCTGGTTCCTGGATTCAATTATCTGTGGTGATCAGTGGGAGAAGAAAGAAGAAGAAAATCTTTATTGAAATGACCTTTGAATGTGGTCTGTTCACATCAAGTGTTGGCTGGTAATGTCCAGTGGTAATTTGTTAGGATTTCATATTTCATGAAAGTTTGAGAACAAACTGATAACAAAGGCCTCCAAATTCTTTGTAATTTTGGTGTGACTTTTCCGTGATCACCCCCCCCCCCCCCCCCCCCAAAAAAAAAAAAAAAAAAATCCATACAGGTTGCTTTTGTTACCTGTGTTAGTTTTTATTTGCAGGTCTAAGATTCCTTATTATTGTTAGTTTTAAATGTATAATGTTTATGCTGGAAGCTTCTTGTGTCCATGATGTTGGTTTCACAGTTGCTGCAGGCTTATTGCACTAGCACAAGTTAGTAATACCTCACAAACCAGCTTTTCTCAGGAGAAATATATATAAGTACCAGAACCAGTTATAATTATTATTTTTTATTATCTAAGCACCTCAGGTGGAAAATGCTTATAAAAACCTCGTACAGTAAAAAGAACAGGAAATTAGTCAGCTCTTTCTATTCAGTAATGTCCACAATATGGGGCATTAGTGTACATTAAGCAGAAATAACAGATTACAGCAATTTTAAGCTCTCTCTCCCCCCTACCCACCCCACCTCCAAAGCAGACTTGTTTTAATTGTCTCTTAAGTGTTGATCTACCTCACTCCTTTTAACAAAACCTCATCTTGGGGAAATTAATCCAAGTCTGCAAAAATGCTTTTATGCCTACCTCTGAACCCCCCCCCCTCCCCCATCCCCCTTAAGAGTCAAAGTAGAGTTAAAGCTGGATGTTTTCACTTTTGAAAACGGTGGAAGTGGACATACTTTTCTATTTCATTTCTCATATTCTTCAAGCACGGTGATTTATTTTTGACCATGATGTGTGTTTCAAGTAGTAAATGCCTAATAGTGCTTCATGTGTAGAAGTTATGTGGAAAAGGCATTAATACACATGGTCTCACACATTTCATATTTCTATTAAGGTACACAAAAAAAAGGTTGGCCCAAATAGGATTGGTAGCTTGATTATTAAAGACGGTGTCATTATCCTAGACCTCAGTTATCAGATTTGCACAATCAACATCAGGGACGTTCTGTAAAAAGTGATGAACTAATTTTAAGATGGTAAGCTTCAGTTAACTAGAGTAAGAGGCTAGGTAAAATACATAACAATAAGTCTTAAAATGTGTCCGCTTGATTTCCAGCTTGTCAATTTCAAGGGAAAAATAACAATTGGTTGTTATTTGAAGAAATTAAAAACAAGTGCAAAGCAGTGGAGATAAGGATAATGGTCAGAAACCAACATCTTGAGACATGCCTACTTCTGTTTTGGTTGCATTTATGAATATATATCAATGTCAAATGCTGTACGATTGGAAAAATTAACTTGTAATTATGTACATAAATGTTTAGCTGCATGTAACAGTAGAATTGGACCTATAATTGAGATTTTAAATGCAGGTGATCTTTCTTTATTCAATTCTCAATTGATCGTAGTTTTACCTTCACCTTCGAATTTAAAAATCAGTGGTTTTAATATTGAAAAGATTTTTCACGAGGAAATTAAAATTTTTATGGGGGGAAATATTTAGTTTTAGATCATAATGGGGGAAATTTTGGATGAACTGACGCAGTTCTAATGGGAAGATTAAATATTGAATTTTTTTACATTTTAGTATTGATGATGCCACATAACTTTAAAATTTACATGATTTTAAAGCCATTTTCTTGTCTGCTTTTGTATCAGGTCATAGTCTTATCTTTGTAGTCAATGATATAACGTATTTAAGTTTCATGTAGAGCCTCTGTTTGGGAGTATTTGTGTGTTTTTGTGTGATATTTTCTCTTAGTGGATCAAACAGACATTTTACACTATGTAACAGCTGAATATATAACGCAAATTGTCAAACAGATTTGAACTTCGACATGTTACTAAGCATGACAATATTGCATGCAGTTGGAGTGAAATGTCGCAAGGCAGTAATATTAATTTACAACGGGGGAAGAGACGAATTGTGTTACCATAACACTTTGCCGAAATATACATATTACAGAGACCTTCTGCCAACCATATCTATTTAGCAAATGTGAGAAGCCTTAGATTAAGAAAATTATGAAGAGAAACTGGCCTGCAGGAAGGCAAGGTCCAGACAGGTGGATGCAATTTCTGCTGATTGTTAATGATGTATTATAGACCCTAACTCAGGAGATGACAAACAGCAGCAACTGCACCACAAATACAATGTGTACATGCAGGAGCGGACATTTAAAATTAATTTAAAGATTGAATGGCTCTTTTAAATAAGTTATGTTTTAATCGGGTTGTCTGTATACCAATATAGTATCAAAATGTATCAATTGTATCTTGTGTATAAGTGATGAATACATGTGAATTAGAGACAATAAAATACTTGTAAAAAATTGGAATTGTTGTGTGTTTTTTTTTATATATATGTATTTAGAAAATGATATCCCTTGCTTAATTTTAATAACAAAGCGTCAAGTAATGTCCACAAGTTCTCAAAAGAGATCCAAATTTCTTCTGCCTGCTGAACCATGCCAAAACATTGGTAACAATATTTAGACCTAAAGTGCTCATCATGTCGACAAAGTTACACCACTGATTCTTCAACAGCCGACTCATTTCTTGGAAGCATCCCTGGCCACTGATAAATAGTTCAATTTTTTTAGTAAAATTAATAATCCATGTCTTACACCTACTTTCAAATCGGATTCTTTGCATTCCAACTAAAAAAGGAGAAGCATAAAGGCTAAAAATAAGAAGGATGAATTATTGAAATTTCACAATTGTTACAAAGAGCAACTCACATATTTTATGAGCGACTTGTAAAATATGTGTAAATGTTACAAAAGAAGTGGATTTGGTTTCCGGTTAATTACCCATCTACTATACGATCTCTTTGTTTTTGACTGTAGCTAATAGGTAACAACAACTAACTTCAATTTTAAAGATGTCTTTTAATGAAACAAACAAAAATGTTGATGATATATATATACATATTAATGATTTCATGTCGGTGAAAAGAAATTTTCTAAAAATTCAAATATGACAAAAAAAAATTATCCTCTTACCACTCATCAGTAATAAATTAGTAAAAATAAACAATCTACATATTTGACATCCGATCCTCTTATTTCATATTAGTCACAAAAGTATAACTTAATTAAAATGTTCTGTAAAGAATTGATGTTTAATAGCCTCTTTAGCTGTTATTCTAGTGGCCGGATTCAAGTCCAACAGTCTTTTCAATAAATCATATGCAGTGTCAGGAATTCCAATTCTTCCACCATTTTCCTTATCAGAACTGCTGGGAGGGGATTTCTTTCCATGACCTTTGCCTCGTTTTGGTGCAGCCTGCAGCTTTTCACAAACCACCTGTAGATCTAGCGGTTTCACCACAGGGCAACAAGTCAGTTCTTTCCCTGGGGAGAAAGAGAGGTCAGTAAAGAAATACATAAAACATAACATTATCAAATGAGAATTTTTCATTGTTATATCTGACATGACCAGACCAGATAGGAAATGGGCTAAACATTTGAAACAGATAAAATAAACAATATAATTTAAACAAGGGGGTTGAACTCCCAAGACAGGTGTATATTAAAAGACTTGGCTTTCTTCATCCCAAATGCTCCCATGAAACATAGCATAGGCCCTGAGCTTACTTATGCACCAATAAATTAATAGTGCATGATGACAAATTCATCAAATCTGGGGATAAGATGTCAGTCTCACACTAAAATATAACTCTTTGGCTTAAAATTGTAAAATATTACATCCATTTTTGACAAATCCTTATTTGTCCTGCTCAAACTGCCACTTCAAATAATTCTGGACCCTCCGCTGGTTCTAGACAGTAAGTCCACTCACCATAAGTTCTTGCGGACATCTTCACCTCCATCGTCCCCATGAGGCTGATTAACTGTGCCAGGGACACCATGTCATCTGATGCCTTGAAGAAGGGGTAGCGTCCACTCAGGATGGATAAAAAGATGATCCCTGCTGACCAGATGTCCACAGCTGTTAAAAAGTAAATAATTCTTTTGTCAATATAGAGAAGATATGCAAAGATATTATCAATATTAAAAAAAAAAATTATTGACTACAACTACTGCTTAATCCATGCATGTTAACAACTAGTTCAAGATTGTGATAACCAGAATATCATTCTTTAGAATCATTTCCAGAATGTTATATTTTTAAGTTGTATCAACAAATTTCTAAATCAAAAGCAATCTTTTAGGGTGTGGTTATCATGCCTGTGATTCACATATACAATACTAAAAAAAAAAAAAAAAAAACATGTATATCGAAATGTCTCCTTTGTTTATGTAACTTGATTTGTTCTGAAATATTTTCTCACCTGTTGTTTGATGTTGGTGTTTCATGAGGACCTCGGGAGCTCTGAAGCCTGGAGTACCAGCTCGTGGTGCCTCCTGGCGGGACCTAAAATAGAATCAAACTTCTTTGAAAAGTGAAAAAAAAACATCATAATTATGTGCACTTTCTCACAAACAACACCCAAAAAGGCTTATTAATTTTTGTTCAAAATAAATTCAAAACAGATTTAAAAAAAACAAAAAACAAAAAGGTATGACACCAAAAAAATTTGGAGGAAAGTTTGTTTGTGTGTATGTATGTGCCCTTGTCAGGTGGGGATTGGTTAAAAAACACAGTAATAATCATCAGTAGCAATACGTTATATCTCACCTGGCTACACAAACCCTGCACACCTGAGGCAACCCAAAGCACTGGCAGGGAGAGGGAGACACTGTTCCACAAGACAGTCTGGTTCCAAAGCTGGGCTTGGACTTAGCAAGTGCCTGTCTGTTAGCAAGAGTATGTGCCTTCCCTTGACCAAACAGTGATCCCTGGTCATTTCCATGAACAAGAAGAGTTCTCTTTGCGAGAGCAAATCTTCGTGGAGATTTTGATTTTGTGAAAGCGACCGTGGTGAGATCTGGGGTGGGGGGCGTAAGGTTGTGCCCCATGGTGTGAGAGAGTTTATTCATGATGGCTTTATCCTCCTCGGTGCTCGCCCTGATTCTTGTTATTTTGGGATTGGTTGAGATTTCTTCGAGTTTCTGTGATGATTGGAAGTCCTTTTTGGGAGACATTTTAGGAGTATTCTGAATGAAAATAAAATGGAAATCTATAATTAAA